CTCTCTCTCTCTCTGTGTCTCTCATGAATAAATAAAATCTTAAAAAAAAGGCAAATTATAAAGAAAAAAATATTATAAGATAATTAGAAATTTGAACGCTGGCTGGCTATTTGATGATATTAAAGGATGAGCATTAATTCTTTTTATCCTCTAGTTCCTTTTAGATTTGATAGCATTGGGGTTATGTTTACTTCCAAAGAGTCCTTACGTTGTAGAAATGTGAATTGAAATATTTAGGAATGAAATTGTATGATATCTGAGATTTGCTTCAAGGCAATATGGGGTATGTTCTATACCTTAATTGTAGTGTTTACATTCATTCATGAAAATTCTTTGAAAAAAGAAAAAAGAAAACTCTTTGAACTGGGCACTTAAAATGTACGTTTATTGTATGTAAATCATATGCCAGTAAAGTTAATTTTTAAAAATGGGAATAGGGTAGGAAGTGGATGGGGTAAGGATGAAACAAGATTGGCTGAGTTGATAAGTGTTGAAGCTGGATGTTGGGTACATGGAAGTTTATTATGCTCCTCTGTTTATTTTGTATGGGTTTGAAAATTTCCATAATAAAGCACTCTTTAAATTGCTTGAAGGAAGATGCTATTTCTATTTTACAGATGAAGAAACTAAAGCAGAGGTTAAGTAACTTGCCCCTGAATTACACAGCTGGTAAAATGATGAGTCAGGAATATGAACAGACCATCTGAGTCCAGAACTTAAGCTATTAATCATGGTTACAGGGCAGCCTGGGTGGCTCAGCTGTTTAGCGCCGCCTTCAGCCCAGGGCCTGATCCTGGAGACCCGGGATCGAGTCCCATGTCGGGCTCCCTGCATGGAGCCTGCTTCTCTCTCTGCCTGTGTCTCTGCCTCTCTCTCTGTGTCTCTCATGAATAAATAAATAAAATATTTAGAAAAAAATCCTTTAAAAAATCATGGTTACAAATTTCCAGAGAAGGTAGAGCAAAGTGTGCTTGTGGTTACAGGGGGAGGCAGCACTGCTGGGTGAGAACAGAGTCTAATTTAGAGAATTCTGGAAGTGAGATGTACAAAAGTGGTGGTGGCTAGCTTGCAGTGCATCAAGGAATGGGTTCTTTCTTAGATTCATTGTCATGGAGTAGACTTAGATTGGGAGCATGGTCTTGGGACCCTGCTGCCTGGGTTTGAGTCGTGGCTCTGACACCTGCTAGCAGTGTGACCTTGCGAAAGTCACCTAAAAATCTCTGCCCTTACTTTTTTTATTTTTTTATTTTTTTATTTTTTAATTTTTATTTATTTATGATAGGCACACAGTGAGAGAAAGAGAGAGGCAGAGACACAGGCAGAGGGAGAAGCAGGCTCCATGCACCAGGAGCCCGACGTGGGATTCAATTCCGGGTCTCCAGGATCGCGCCCTGGGCCAAAGGCAGGCGCCAAACCGCTGCGCCACCCAGGGATCCCTGCCCTTACTTTTTTTAAAAAAAAGATTTTATTTATTCATGAGAGATACACAGAGAGAGGCAGAGACATAGGCCGAAGGAGAAGCAGGCTCCCTATGGGAAGGCTAATGCAGGACTCCATCCCAGGACCCTGGGGTCCTGACCTGAGCCGAAGGCAGACACTCAACCACTAAGCCATCCAGGTACCCCTACTTTTCCCAGTTTGGCAGTTTCTTAAAAAGTGAATATAAGTTTACCATATGACCTGGCAATTCCTCTCTTAACATGAAAACATTTGTCCACATGAAGAATTGTATGCCAATGTCCATAACAGTATTATTCATAATAACTGAGAAGTGGAAACAACCCAAATGTGGTTGGCTACACAAAATGTGATGCGTCCACACTATGGAATACTACTCAGTGATAAAAAAGAACGGACTGCTAGTACATGCTACGGCATGGGTAAACCTCCAAAACATGCTTTTGTGAAGTAGTCAGACGCAAAGACCACATATGTTGTGATTCCATTTCTATGAAATGTCCAGAAAAGACAGATCTATATGGGCAGAAAGTAGATTAGTCACCCGGGGCCGGGGGTGGGAATGGGGAGTTACTGTAAGTGGAGATGAGGGATTTCTTAGGAAATGTTCTAAAATTGGATTGTGGTGATAGTTGTGTAACCTTGTAAGTTTAATAACATTCATTGACTTGAATACTTAAAATGGGTTATATATGGTATGTAAAATTAAAAAAAATAGTGCCTATCTCCTAGAATTGTTATGGGGATTACATAACATAAAGTTCCTAGACAGAGACTGGAATGCAGTCTCTAGAAGTTACTGTACTGGGCTGGACCTCTGGGGCTCCTTCTCTGCTGTGCCCTTCCAGGGAAAGGACCACTGAGCTGCTCCCAAATCCTTAAACACAGGCCTTCGGGTGAGACCCAGATGGGCCACGGAGGGGGAAGGGCTGGCTTCCAACTCTCTCCAGGCCCTTTCCTATCCCTTATTCCTGAGGTGTCAGATGGGACCCAGCATCCAGCCTTGTCCCTCTTTTTCTCCTCTGTGGGGAAGGGCTCCTGAGAAGGGTGTTGCCTCCTCATCTTGCCAGCTAGGGATGGGGTCGAGTGTCCTCTACTGTAGGCAATGGGAATTGCAACAGCCGGGCCAGCCCGCTCACCTCACCCTCCTGACTGGTGAGGAGCACTGTAACCCCCTTTTACTGAGAGGGACACGGAGACTCAGAGTGTGTAAGTGACCTGTCCAGGGTTGCACAGCAGGCACCCCCAGCCTACGCCCTCTGAAAATGGAGGCTTGATGACTTCAGGTCCTTTCAGCTAGAGAGTTACTCACACCAACCCCTGCTGTTTGTAAAGTGCTTCCATGCCCACAACCCAGAGTTCCCATCTGGGCTGTATTCTGGGGGTGCCTGATTCAAGGAAGGAGAAGTGGAGGTGGAAGGAATTCCTTCTCCAGGGAAGGACTCCCAACAGTAATGATCCCAACTAAAGCCCCTAGACTCAGATCTGAAGGACCGAAGGCTTTTGGAGTGAGAGAAGGAGGAGGCCATTGATCTGCATGGTTAGGTAAGATTCATTCATTTATTCATACTGAAGAACTTCCTGAGCATTTTCTCCTTATGTCAACACTACACTAGGCACGGGAATGCAAATATGAGTGAGACTATAGGGGAGGATCAAAGGAGTTTCCTAGTCCAGGTTCCTGTAGGTGGGGCCCAAACTCCCTCCCCAGGATCTCAGCAGCGGAGGCTGAAGGAGTAAAGTGGGAGGTTGAAGCAGATGCCTTCCGCCCCACAAGCAAAAGAAATCTGTCACTGCTGTCTCAGGGTAAGAGTTTTCAGCATTGTCCCCCAGAAGAGACAGCTGTGAAGATCATCATCCTTCCAGAATTTTCCTCCTGTGTGTGTATGGGGGGAGGGGTGGCAGAAGGTGGGGAGGGGAGCCAAGGCTTTTGGAGCACTCAGGAATCCTGGAGTGTAGACCTGGCAAGATCCCAGGATATCTCCTAGGACAACTACCCTGAAGGCTTCTACCGAATATTCTAGGGGGTTTTTGGAGCAATAGAACATCATACCCTCCGGTTCCTCAAACCCTGGCTTCACTCAGGGCCTTTATCTGTGGCCTCTGCAGAAGGAACCCTTTCCTCCCAAATGTTATTTGATGATGACATATAGAAAAATGATTCTTCTGTTGTCACTGCCAGGAGCCCCAGGACGCAAGCTGCATCATTTGCCCCTTTACAGAAACCCAGTCTTACCCTGGCTCCAGAAGGAGATATTCTCTCTGTGACACTCTCCCCAACTTCCATATTCCAACTTCCAAGCTATCATACCAATTTCTTTATATCTCTGGGGATGGGAAGCAGCCATATTCCAGTAACCTGATTTTTATCAAGAGAGAAACACTCCAGGGATTCGTTCATTCACTGCAAATATTTATTGAGCACCTATTAAGTCTGGGCACTGTTTAAGGCGGTAGGGATGCAGTAGTGATTAAGATGAAGTTCTTGTCAGCTCATTTCCAGACTAATGAGAAACAGACAATAAAAATAAATACGTTCAGACTTTTGTATAATAGTAAGCTATACAGAAACTAAAGAAAGTTAAGGGGGATAGTACATGTTGGGGGAAGGTGGTCCTTCATCATTAGGATTTATTTGGGAGGGGAGATAATTCACTTTTTTTTTTTTTTTTTTTTTTTGCTTCACTCTCCTTTGAGATAAGAGGGTCTAGGTGTCCCCTACTCTGGACTCCTCGGCCCATTTTGGCAGCTCAGCTTCAGAGGGCAGCGTCTTGGTATTTGAAGGGGCCGGAAAACCAGCCCCTCGGAATTTGGTCAAGGGGCCATTAGAAACTGCATTAGAGAAACGCAAACAAGCCTATTTATCATCTTCCCTGGGTGAAATAATACTCACCGCCCCCCCCAATTGCTTTTTTTTTTCCCTTTGTTCATCTTGCATACACTGAATACCTAACTCCTTTTCAACATTTTTTTTCTTTCTTTCTTTTTTCTTTTTTCTTTTTTTTTTTTTTTTTTTTTTCAGCTCAGTGTGTGCCAGGCGCTGTTCTCGGGCTCCGGAACAGAGAGGAAGGAGGCATTCTCTGCCCGCGGGAGTCCCTGCCTTGGCAAAACTTGTAAACAACCATCGCCTCACTTCAGTTTTTCACCCAACTCAGTGTTCGTGATCCATCTATGTTGATTCATGCAGCCCGCAAGAGGGTAGATGAACATTCCCATTTTACAGATGCGAAAACCGTGGCTGCTAAGGGAAAAGCGAAGCGTTCCGCGACGACTAGAGGGCGGGACGCCACCGGGCCACGTGCAGCGGCGCGTCTCGCCCCTCGCGATCCCACCCGCACACGCTCCCTCTCCTCCTCCCTCCCAGCCGCCGCCGCGCCGGGTCCACGTGTGTGTGTCTGTGTGCGGAATGGGGCCGGGGGCGGTGCCGCCGGAGGGGTGGGGTCCAGGCCAACGTCACAGGCAGTGGCGCCCAATCAGCGGCGGGCTCGCGGCCCCGGCGCTGGTATTGGGGCAGCGAGGGGGCAGTTCTCTATAACGCGGTCTCCGGGAGCCAGCGGGGAAGAAAGAAGCCGAGCGGGCGGAAGGCGCCCTCCCCGCCGCCTGGGCCCGGGCACCGGGTGCCGGGCCCGGGGTCCTTCCCGCCTCCCGCGGCCGCCGGCCGCTTTGTTTCCCCAGCCTCTGCGCCCTGGTCTACTCGAGAGGGGCTCCCGCCGGGGCTGCGCAGGGAACGCGGCGGCAGGAAGGGCGGCCGACCGCGCCGGGACTCGCAGGGACCCAGGAGTCCGGCCGCCGGGAGGGCCGCGTGACGAGATCGAGGAGGGAGCCAGAGCTCCGCGGCCCCGGGTTGCGGGCCGGGGGCGCCCGTGAGCAGAGACCTCCCCGTCGAGGGGGGGCGATGTTCCCCTCGCCCGTGGGCTCTTCGGGCAGCCCGGGCACACCGCCGCTGGGACCAGGGCCCCCGCAGTGGGCGCCCCCCCGGGCGGTTCCATGGAAACTCTGTGCCCCGCTCCCCGCCTCGCAGTGCCGGCGTCCCCGCGAGGGTCGCCCTGCTCCCCGACACCCCGGAAGCCGCGTCGGGGGACCCAGGAGTTCTCTCCGCTGTGCCTGCGTGCCCTTGCCTTCTGCGCCCTTGCCAAACCTCGGGCGTCCTCTCTGGACCTGGGGCCTGGGGAGCTGGCGCCGCGGGGCCCGGTGCTGCTGGGCCCTCGCGCCCCCCTGTGCACCGGCGGCTGGGCCCCGGATGGCCTGAAGCACCTCGCGGGACCCGCCGGGCGGTCCAGCGATCCGGACTCCCCGGCCGGTCAGGATGCCGCCGCCGCAGTGTGCCGCGGCCGTGGCGAGGAGGAAGAGGGCGGAGGCGGTTTCCCGCACTTGGGCTCTCGCTCCGGCGTACCTCCCGGCCGCTGCCCGGCGCCCCGGCGCCCTCGGGAATCTCCGACCAGCTCCGCCTCCGCTCCGCCTCAGCCAGCCTCGGGTCTCGACTCCCAGCCCGGCCCCGCCGCCAGCCCCCGTCAGGAGCCCGGTTCCCCGCCTCCGCCGCCACCTGCGGGCCTCGCCACCGAGCCCGCGGGTCCCGGGGCCGCGCCGGAGCCGCCCGCGCCGGGCCAGACGGCCGCAGTCGATGGAAACGCCCCGCAGGCCGCCCCGGAGGCACCGGCCGCTAGCCCCTCGACGGCCGCGCCCGGCGATCTGCGCCAGGAACATTTCGATCGTCTGATCCGCCGGTCGAAACTTTGGTGTTACGCGAAGGGCTTCGCCCTCGACACTCCGAGTTTGCGCCGGGGCCCGGAGCGGCCGCCTGCGAAAGGGCCCGCCCGGGGAACCGCCAAGAAACGCCGACGGCCGCCGCCCCCCCATCGCAGCGCACAGCCCCGCCGCCCTGCACCGACGCTCCCCACCTCCAGCACCTTCAGCCTCCTCGACTCCTTCCCCTGCCCCCCGGCCCTGGTGGTGGGGGAGGACGGAGACTTAGGGCCGGCATCCTCGCTTCGCCTGCAGGGAGACGCTAAGCCCCCGCCTGCCCACCCGCTGTGGAGGTGGCAGATAGGGGGTCCTGCTGTCCCTGAGCCCCCAGGCCTCAAATTCTGGGGGATCAACCTGGAGGAACTTTGAGCCTGAGACCTCTTCTGCCAAGGGGGAAAGTTTGGGGCCACGGCCAAGCTTTGGGCCCCAGGATAGGGCCTCGTTTCTCACATTTTGCCTGTTCCTTTACGTTTTATGGGCTGCGGTCAGAGGGACCTCAAGTGACAGTGATCTTCAAGCACCTAAGTGTTTGGGGTGACACCCCCTCCCCCTCATCCTTTGGAGACGAACCAAGGGCTGCAGTCAGGAGAAGGCTTAACGGAAAAAGGCTTAATGACATAGATTCCAATCCCTCCCCTCTTCCATCTCGGATCTCTGGGGGCAGGGCCTTCACCCCAGGGGGAGTAAAGGAGGCTACCGCTCAAAGACCAGGAAAAAAAAGAGGGAGAGACCTTGGTGATGGACAAACCGGTTGTTTCTGTGGGCGAGCCAGGGGTGGAGGGGGCCGTCGTGGGGGTGGGGAGGTGATTGGCAGCTCCCTGGGGGCATCCCCCACCCCCACCATCCAGGCCTTTAACCCTTCACTCCCCTCCGGCCTTCCCCTGCACTCCGAGCCCCGCCTGAGCCTTCATGGGGGAGGGGACAGCCTGAGCTAGGGGCAGATCACTCCCTCCCTCTTTTCCCGGGCCCTCTCCCCTGACCAAGGCAGGTGACCCCTAATTGGTGATGTCTTCAGTCTCAGCCACCAGCCTTTCCCCTTTTGTCCGCTTTTTGAAGTTTCTCCCTTTTAATTTTTCCTGTTTGCTTTCAGTTTAAAAGGTCCGATGGGTAAAAGAGGTCCTCCTCCTGGATCCATCAGCCCCCTCCCCCAGTTTGCTTCTCTGGTTTGTAGTGGACCGCCGGGGGACCGCCTCCCCTCCAAAGGCGCAGACCTTGCCTGGGGAAAGGGCCGGGGATGGTCCCAGGGAAAGTAATAGAAGGTGGAAGAGTCAATAAAATCAGACCAAACAAGTTGCCTTTCGAGGTCCTCTCTACCGATTTATGCATGAGAGAGGGTGGAGGTAGAGGGCAGGCCTGGGTCCAGGCTTTGGACACCCAAAACTCAGCCCCCTCGAAGGCTGGAGGTGAGGCCAGCTGCTCCTTACAGAAGGGGTAAATTGAGGAGTTCTTGCCCTAACCTCCAGGGTCCCGCGGGGCCTGAAGGAGCGGAGTTTGAGTTTGAATGGGAGCTGGGCTAGTTGTCTGCAGTTTCCTTCCCTAACTCCAGGCATTTCGGGAGTTGTCAGGGACCTGATGGATCCGATGGGGGCAGGGCTAGGGGATTAGTTTTGAGGTCAGAGGTGCTGTTTTCCAGGGGGGGAGGGGAGTGGTAGGCCTGGACCCCGCCCGGCTGCTGCTGGGACGACCCCCTAGAGTTTGAGAGGGCTGAACTGGCCCTCTCCTCCACCCAGGTGAGGTCAGGGGAGGTTAGCTCTTAGGGAGACTCCTTAGGTGTGAGGGGAACCTGGGGGTGACAGATCTGCCCGCCAAGTGAGGGACCCAGTGACCCTTCTGCCCACACTAGTGAATAGCACCCCCTTGCCCCCCCCCAAAACGGGGTGAGGGAGGAACAGTTCCCACGTTCGATACTGGGGAAGGACTTGTCTCCTTTTCTGTGAAAATGCTTTGTAAAAAGTTGTTATTGTTTGCATAGAGCAGATTCTCAAGAAAAACTGTTTGGGGCCACAAAAATTTTGTTTGTTTTAAAAGCTGTCTCTTCTCATTTTTTTCCCACCCCCACCGCAAGAGGGTGAGGATGGGGGTGGGGTAGGTGGGCGTGGGTTGGACTTTGCTCTCTTTCTCCTCAACATCTGGCCTTTCTGAACCCGGCTGACCTCCCCTCCCCCCTCCAGCTGTGTTGTGGGGAGGAGGGGGAGGGCAGGGAGAGGGCCTCCCACTCCTGTGCTTCAGGGTTCAGGGGTATCCAGCTTATTTTACGCCCCTCAAGATCGGGGAAGGCGGAGGAAGAAGGCCGACCCGAGAGGTGGGAAGAGGGGGTCTTGTCTGCAAGGAGAAATTCTGAAAGGCAGGCTCCCGTTTTTAAAAATCTCCCTGCTTTTACTAATGTGGTCCGGGGTCAGCTTTGGCCCTTTCTCCACCAGCCTGGGCGGGATGGTGCGCGCTCTGGGAGCAGGAGAAAGGTGGGTCCTTAGAATACCCTTTGCGGACTCTACTTCCCTGACAGTGAGGTGTGATGCAGTGAATTTGTCTGCCCTCCTTCCTCCTTTGGTGAAAGCATTCAACATTAAACCTTAGCCTGGAAGGAGTCTAGGCGGTGAGTTAAAAAACACACCTTTTGGCCAGACCTGGAACTCCCCTCCCTTGCTGAATAGTTTAATTTGGAGAAACTCAGGGCTAGAAGCCTCTCTAGAAGCTTTCTAGTCATTCCGCAGAATGGGGAACTGTATTAGTTTTCCTGCAGCTGCTGTAACAATTTACCACAAACTTGGTGCCTTCCAACAAAGGGAAATCTTTCCTCTCACGCTTCTGGAGGCCAAGGGTCCAAAGTTAAGTTGTTGGGAGGGCCCTGCTCTCTCCCAAGGCTATCGAGGAGAATCCCTTCCCTGCTTCTTCCAGCTCCTGGAGGCTCCAGGCGTTCCTTGGGTTACGGCCACATCACTCCCATCTGCCTCCATCTACACGTGGCCCTTCCTCCCTCCCTCTACTTGTGTCTTTTATAAGGACACTTATGGATTTAGGGCCCACCCAGATAATCCAGCATGAGTTCATTTTGCCAGTCTTAATTTGGTTACATCTGGAAAGACCCTTGTTCCAAATAAGGTCACATTCATAGGTTTCGGAGGGAGGGGAGTTAGGATACAGAGATCTTTTTGGGGTATTGCCATTCAGCCCATTACAGAAATGGAGTTCCTGAAAGGGGAAACTTGCCCAGATTTTCTGGGGGAAGGAAGCACATGCTGCAGTATGTGGGGTTGGTTGGGTGTGGGGCCATAAGTCTTCCTGAATTGGAGCAGTTTGGAGAAAGGGTAGACTTGGACCCCTTGCTTTTTCCAGGCTAACCCCAAGGATGCTAGGACTCCATCCCCCACAATACTGAGCCAGGAGGGCAACTCAGTCTCCCCAGAAGGGTCCCATGAGTCTCCCTTCCTCCCTTCCTGTTTCCTCACCCTGCCTTTGGAGCCCTCCCTTTGGAGCCTCATCAGTGTCCCCAGCCCCTGTTCTCAGATTGTCATTGGGTGTGTGTCCTTCCTTCTCCCTCTCCCCACCCAAACTTCGCATCCTCTGATGCTCTGCCAGTGGTCCCTATGTGTTTGGCGGGATATGGAGGTGGAGGGTCTTCCTTGGCTTCTGCCTGGGTCTCTTTCTGGGTGTTCTCTTTCCTTTTAGTCTCAGATGGTCTCTCTTCTGTGGCCCCCCCCCCAACAGCTCTGGGGCCGGTTGTCTGCTCCTCCTCATCAAGACCACCTGCAAGACCCTGAGAGTGAAGGGACTCCTTAAATTGTGTTCCCCAGGCTCCTTGCTCGCCTCCCCCTAGTCTAGCTCTGCTTGCCATACCTCCCTCCTCCTGGGAGCTGCCCCCACATATTCTGCTTCTTGCCTCTTAAATCTTTGCAGCTTGACTTCTCCCTGACATGACTTTTTCCAGAGTCACTTACCACAGCTCCCCAACCACACATCCAGGGGTTGCCTCGGGGCCATCCTGACCCTTGTGTTCCTCCATGACTTCTGCTGGATATTCACCAGGGTCGGTTAGTTCTCCTCCCATAAGAAGTCCCTGCTCTGGGGCAGCCTGGGTGGCTTGGTGGTTTAGCACTGCCTTCGGCCCAGGGCATGATCCTGGAGACTGGGGACTGAGTCCCACGTCAGGTTCCCTGCATAGAGAACTCTCTGCTTGTGTCTCTGCCTCTCTGTGTGTGTGTGTGTCTCTCATAGGTAAATAAATAAAAATCTTAAAAAGAAATAAAAATAAAGGGATCCCTGGGTGGCTCAGCCGTTTAGTGCCTGCCTTTGGCCCAGGGCCTGGAGTCCCAGGATCGATCCCGGCATCAGGCTCCCTGCCTTGAGCCTGCTTTTCCTCCCTCTGCCTCTCTCTATGTCTCTCATGAATAAATAAATAAAATCTTTAAAAAAAATAGAAATAAAAATAAAGTAGTCCCTGCTTTGTCTTCTCTGCTCCCTCTTTTTCCTCTGACTTCAGGAAGCTTTAAAATACAAGGAGCTCCGTGATGTCCAGGTGGTGTCTCCCCTTCGCTGCTATGTCTCCCCAGGTGATTCCCTTCATCTCTTCCTCCCTCTCAAGTCTTCATCTGTCACTTGCATAGGTAAGAATCGAAATGACTGTCCCTGCCTCCTTGCCCTCCAGCCTAGCCCCTCTTCTGAGCTTTGGTCCCAGTATCTCCAAGTGGTTGCTGGCAACTCATACTTTCCTATTGAAAACTCAGCTTGGTCTCTCCACGCCCTGCCCACGTCAGCCCCCGCCCCCACCAGTCAGCCAACATACTGGTGACAGCTCTGTCTTTCTACTCAAGCCTCAGCTCCTTGAATTCTCACCAGGGTCCTCTCCTTTGACTAACTGCTGTCTATTTCTGAACCTCCGCCTCCTGCTGGTGTCTCCAGAGCCTCTTGTATCCTCTCCATGAGGGTGTGACACACTCGATGCCTAGTCTGGGCTATTGCAGTAACCACCTAACTAGTTTCTATATCTCTGGTTTTCCTCTGATACCCTCGCATCTGATTACCTTCCTACTCAGCAAGTTCCCTGATTTTATTAAATGCAGCCTCCTTGGCCCATCATTTGGGGCCTTCTAGGATTCAACCCTAATTCTCATGGCCCTGTTTCTTCACTTTATGCACCATGTGGTCCATCACATTGGACTATCCTTCCTTCCCCAGCCACCCGCCTCTTTTTTACCTCCATTCTCCAAAGCTCATTTGAAATGGCATCTCTCCACAAAGTCTTTTTTGATTCCCCCCATTGTATGTCATCCATGCCATCTTTAGACCCTCTTTATCTCTTTTATGTCTGGAGCAGGGGTGGTGGAGTGTGGTGGAGCAATTCGGGCTTTGGAGTCCAACACTCCCCTTTCCCCCCTCTTCATGGAGAACCTGGGAAGCTAAGTCCAGCCACCAGGGGGGAAATCATCTTTCTGTCTTTCCTAAGCTTTTATTTCATTGCTTTGGCCTTAATTGGGAGTTATTAACACGAAACGGCCACTTCAAAATCACTCCTATAATTGTAGAAACTTCCCAAGGAGACACTATCCAGTGTGCCAACTTCCTCTACATAGTGTTTATGTTTTCTTTAAATAGAGATTAAAGGCATCCCTGGGTGGCGCAGCGGTTTGGCGCCTGCCTTTGGCCCAGGGTGCGATCCTGGAGACCCGGGATCGAATCCCACATCGGGCTACCAGTGCATGGAGCCTGCTTCTCCCTCTGCCTGTGTCTCTGCCTCCCTCTCTCTCTCTCTCTCTCTCTCTCTCTGTGACTATCATAAATAAATAAAAATTTAAAAAAAAGAAATAGGAATAACTTCCCCTATTAAAAAAATAAATAGAGATTAAAAATTAAGGTTATTGATGATAAGCTTATAGTTGTGATTTTTTTCTCCTTATTTCTACAGTCATCTTGTATTTTGCATTTAATTTTCTTTAGGTCCTGAGTCTGTGTCCCGTAACACCAGGCACACGATGAATACTTGTCCAATGCAGAGTGCATATTTTTAAAGGCTTATTTAAAGGATCACACAGGAGCGCGGGGAGTGGCACTTGGGCGGGATGCAGTTCCAGAGCCGTCCACTAGATGCTGCTGTCTGCTAGCGCCAGAGGATGATGCCAGGCTGGAGAAAGGTGGATGGGGGAAGGAAGTTAAGTCTTGCAAGTATTTGAGCACCTCCCAGTGCTGGGGCCTGGGGAGAGGGATGTGTTGGACATGGTCTCGGCCTACAAGGAATTTAGTCAGGTGCTTTGCATACATTATCTTGCTTTCGTAACAATAGATGGATATTATTATTTCTGTTTAGTAGGTGAGGAAATGGGAAGTTCAGAGAGGTTAATTAATTTTACTGAGGTCACACAGCCAGTGGAGGAGCGGTTTAACTCTAGTCTGTCTGATTGGGTTTTCCCCTAATAGCAGTTGTCATAACAAATACTTACATGGCACAGGTTTGGAGCTGGGCACCGTTCTAAGGGCTTTATGCCTAGTTGCTCATCTAATCCACAGAGCAACACTAAGAGGTAGGTATTATTATTATCCCCATTTTGCAGCTGGGGAAACAGGTATAGAGAGGTTAAGCCCACACAGAATTGCACCGTTAGAGTTTGTGCTCTTTTTTTTAAGATTTTATTTTTTATTTAGAGAGAACACATGCATACACTCGTGAGTGAGGGGAGGGGCAGAGGGAGAGGGAGAGGGAATCTAAAGCAGACTCTGAGCTGAGTTCAGAGCCTGATGCGGGGGCCAATTCCACTACCCTAAGACCATGACCTGAGCCAAAATCAAGAGTTGGACGCTTAACCCACTGAGCCACCCAGACACCCCGGAGTCAGTGCTCTTAATGACTACACTGCTGCCATGTTTCACCACCTCAGCAGCAACCAGCTGTAGACCAGAGGCAGCCTCCCACCAATATTTGGAAATCACAGAGTGCTGTGCCAGAGACACAAAGACACAGAACCTGACCCCGAGGAGCCTAAAGCTGCATGGGAAAAGGAGGACATGCAGTCTCCTTCTTGGCTCTCCACAG